TTCTCTCGTTCGTGTTTCGGTATAAGACTCGTCCGCACTTCATCTACGACGCGAGCGCCGTTGCTGGTCTCCATAGCCGCGAATCAGCGGACAAATAAGCCGAGGCGATGGAAGGTGTGTTTGACTAAAGCAGATTGACACTGCAAAAATGGGTACTATAAGTAGCCGCCGTCGTATAACATAAAGTCGCGAGCAATTGGCAAGATGGCGTAAATGCTGAAGTTAGAAGCAAGAGGCTGAGAAAGACGTCGGTTCCCATCGTCAAGAAATTTTAGTGGACCCGCAGGGGTCCTAATGGCGCCCCACCACGATAAGCTGCACTGTAGCATACTGTGGAGTGTAACGCCCACACAAAAAACTATGCCCCTCTATCGCTAATCGATATAATCGATATACGCTACAGCCCCTCCAACATTTTTATCACTTGCAGGCAAATACAGCGTACAACCGGCGCCTAGACCACCAACTTGCGCATACCATCATCTTAAAAGTATTAATCATAAATCGTCATCGCCGGTGACTCACCAAAAACCGGGCGCTACAATTTGATCCCTCCCTACTCGGACAGAGATTTCCAATCTGGCTTCGCTACCATTTAGATTTAAAGCTGGTGGTGACGGCAAGATGCCCTCGGCCACACATTCCCACCGGCCAACCACCAAAGTTGTGCACAAGGCCTTCAAATCCAAGAAAGCAACCAAGGGCTCACTCCGTGATCAAGCCAAGGGTAATACTTTGACGACTTGCACCGCCTTCCAGGCACTGTGTACTGACATCCTTCTATAGGCAAGGTCCCTAACGAAAGACGAAAGACCCCTCACCAGCAAATCATGTCCAAGATCGATCGACGGAACCAGGCCAAGCAGCGCCAGCTTGTGAAGCACAAGGAACATCAGAAGGAGGCCTCTATATTCTTGGGCCGGGATGGCGCCCCAAGGATTGTTGCCGTTGTCCCCCTGTGCGCCGACGGCGACGCCCTCGCCGCCATTGGGAGTCTCAATGCCAGTCTCGACATCGAATGCGACGTGTCCGCCTCCACATTCCGAGTTCCTGTCGACCGCTTCAAGCAAAGGCTTCAGTACATACCCGTCGGTAATAGGGATCTATCGGTCTGCATGGATGCTGCACGAGTGGCCGACTACATCGTCTTTATCCTATCTGCCGCAACCGAGGTCGACCCCCTGGGAGAACTAATTATTCGAAGCATCGAAAACCAGGGCATGTCGACGCTATTCACTGTTGTCCAGAGCCTCGACAAGGTTGAACCCGCAAAAGCAAGGCCCGACGTTGTCAAGTCTCTGGCCTCTTTCATGACACACTTTCACCCAGGCCAGGACAAGATATACAGTCTTGACTCCAGGCAGGAATGCTCCAATTTGATGAGATCACTTTGTAGCACTACCCCAAAGGGAATCAACTGGAGGGACCAGAGATCGTGGATGCTGGTAGACAGTGTACGGTGGCCGTCCAACGAGACGGAATCCACCGTACTGACGGGGGTCGTCCGTGGAAAAGGCCTGAAAGCTGATCGATTAGTACACGTGGGAGAATGGGGTACCTTCCAAATAGAGAAGATCACAGCAGCTCCAATCTCGACTAAGAAGCGGAAAGATGAAGGCATGGCTGTGGAAGATGGGGAAGAACAGGTGCTAGAGGTCCCAGGCGAAGAGCAAGATGATCTTGCTGAGCTTGCCCCTGAAGAAGCAGTTATGGGTGATTTTGACGGGGATGACATGATGGAATCTGGGGCGCCGACGGCCAAAAAGGGTGTCTTGCTGGACGACCATCATTACTTCTCAGAAGAAGAGCCAGAGAAATATGAGGCTCCTAGGAAATTACCCAAGGGAACATCTGCATATCAAGCAAATTGGATATTGGATGATGTCTCTGACTCCGAATCCGAATTTGACGAGGACATGCAAGATGCACAGGATGAGACAGTCTCAGCCCGACCGGAAGACGGTGTGGAAGGTCTCGCTGGCCGTGAACCTACCGAAGCTGCTATGTCTGAGTATCCCCAATCTGAAGCTTTTGCGGAGCTGAACGAGGACGAAGACGCACAGCAACTTGCTGCGTACCGAAATCGGAAACGCGATGAAGTAGAGGAAGACAAGGAGTTCCCTGATGAGATTGAGCTACATCCACATGTGCTTGCACGCGAAAGGTTGGCTAAGTACAGAGGTCTTAAGAGTCTGCGCACAAGCCCTTGGAACAAAGAGGAAGACCGACCTTACCAACCCGAAGAATGGTCTAGACTACTACAAATTTCAGACTACCAATCCTCCAGAAATCGAGTGCTTCGCGAAGCCTTAGTCGGGGGCGTAACCCCTGGAACTCGAGTTCGTGTATACCTAAAGGGCGTACCCACACACTTACAAAAGACCTACAACTCCTCGCAGCCAGTTACCCTCTTCGGCCTTCTCAGGCATGAAAATAAGAAGACAGTAGTCAACTTCGATATCACCCACAAAGATGATTACGAAAAGTCCATTAAAGCGAAAGAAGAACTCATTGTTCAATGCGGTCCTCGGAGATTCGTGGTCAACCCGTTGTTCTCTAGCGGTGGAAATACTGAGAATAACGTGCACAAGTACTACCGCTTCCTCCACCCAGGAGATGCTGCCATCGCAACATTCATGGGACCGGTCACTTGGGGCTCTGTCCCGGCGCTGTTCTTCAAGCGCGTGACGCCGGAACAGGGCGAAGAAGGCGCCACCCTTCCCCTACAACTAGTCGCAACAGGCACTTCTCGTGCGCCAACGACCAACAGAGTGATTGCCAAGCGTGCCATTCTGACTGGTCATCCTTACCATATCCACAAGAAGGTCGTTACCGTTCGATACATGTTCTTCAACCGAGAGGATGTTGATTGGTTCAAGGCTCTCCCGCTGTGGACGAGGAGGGGCAGGAGTGGCTACATCAAGGAGACGTTAGGTACTCATGGTTACTTTAAAGCCAACTTTGACGGCGGAATCAACCCTCAGGATTCAGTCGGCGTCAGTCTATACAAACGTATGTGGCCGCGAAGCGCCACGCCGTTCACAGGGCCGTTATTAGAAGAAGGATCTGTTGCTAGGCAAAGTGATGCGATGGACGAGGATATTCAATAGAAAAAGGTACTAGGCTTGGTGTTGAAAGCATATAAAGCTGATGAGTCACGAATGATCAAATGGAGGGCGGCCAACGAATTTACTTCAATTATTATTTTTGGGTTCTATTTCTGGGTTGGGTGATTATAAGTAGTATTACAATGTCCCTTCCATAGTGTATAGATGGATGTTCCTATGCAATTCGAGGTCTAAGGTGAAGCCAGTTTCCTTCGTCACGGTATAATATGACGTTCATACCAGAACCCCTCATTCATACCCACCTACTCTCTGGAAAAGCGAGTGATATGGCGCGTGAAACCGAACTCAACCCAACGCCTCCGGCCCCTCGGTCGGTCTCGGGCCCCCTCTACTCCTAGCGACCTCCTCGGCACCACTCGCCCTCCACGCACTCAGTATGAGATTCACAATATGATCAACGCCCACATCCTTCTTGACCTGCGCAAAGACAGTCGGCCCGCCCTCCCTCATCTTGCGCGCGTCGCGCTCCATAACACCCAAATCGGCGCCCACGGCCTCGGCGAGATCCGTCTTGTTCACCACGAGCAGATCGCTCTGTGTGATGCCCGGCCCCCCCTTTCGGGGCACTTTATCCCCGCCGCTGACGTCGATGACGTAGATGATGAAGTCCGCGAGTTCGCGGCTGTAGTTGGCTGCCAGGTTGTCGCCCCCCGACTCGATGAGCAATAAGTCGGGGGAGAACTCCGCGTGCAGATCCTCGAGCGCGGCGAGGTTCGCCGATATGTCCTCGCGCACCGCCGCGTGCGGACACCCGCCCGTCTCGATCGCGCGGATCCGCGATGCTGGCAAGGCCCGGTGACGCGTCAGGAATTCTGCGTCTTCCCGTGTGAAGATGTCGTTTGTTACTGCTGCTAGCCCGTATTTGCTCCGCAGGGCGAGGCAGAGGGCGAGCATTAGGGCGGTCTTGCCGGAGCCCACGGGGCTGGGGGTGTTAGCCTGGGTCCCTTATGGGATGTGTATATAGAATTCGTGCGCGGGACTTGTTGTGGACATATATATATATATATGTTCATATGTATAGTGGACATATCTGAGTATCTTTGATCCCCTGGGTGAGGTGACGCCAGTATTACTCATGGTCACTCGTACAACTTCACTTACCCTCCAATACCAATGGTGAAGGCCCGGTCGTGCCAGTTCCGGCCCTCGACGATGGGCATCTCCCGGCCCAGAAAGCTGCCAGGTCCGTCGAGAATCTCATGGGAGTGGCCGTGGTCGGCGGCCGAGATGCCGTCGTGAGAATGAGTGTGGCTGGTCACGCCGTCGTGGGAATGTGACATGGTGTGTATATATAATGATGTTCGCTGTATATGGCTCCCTGTGTTCCCTCGTAAACTCGGTTCTGATTGTTGGCGTGTGTCAAGATCATGCAACTGTGACTAAGAGACGTCTTGGTATGCGCTCGCCAAGTGGTTGAGATGAGGGGCATTTTCTCCCTCCGATGCGGGGCTGTTCACCCCACCTCTCAATCATCTTGCTTTAGTAGTGAGACTCTATTGTATCTGTTCCTCTTCATAAGTGGTTCGATCTAGTCTTCTATGCTTATCAAATATGTCAGAAGTTCTTGATCTAAGAATCATCCACCAACTTTGGTTTTGCTTTGAATAAAATGTGCCGAGTACCTACCTATTATATTGGTTATGTGAATTGAGCAGCACCTTTTTTAAGAGTGGTAGAGTTCTTAGTTATAGACATATGAATTTCCTAACCTCTACCCTACATGTCTTTGTCCTAGTCTAATATAAGAGGTACAGTATTAGTTATTCTTATGTAACATCTATGGATGTACCTTTACCCCATCTTCACAAACTCCACCACGCCATGTTAATTGTTAGCTTGACCCATCGACAGGAATTCACATATCGGCAAATGTCTCGATTGGTCTAGTGGTGAGGATACCTGCTTGTCATTCTACAATTCGCAGGTGGCCGGGGTTCGATTCCCCGATCGAGAGTTCTCTTTGTTTTGTTATTTTTATTTATTTATCGCTGAAAACTTAGAATAGACAGATTTGATTTTAACAATTGGATAGATTGGAGTTCTCGAATCTTTTTATCCTTGACAAATACATATATTGCATTATCTAGATAGGTAGGTATTCTCCTGCGTGTAAGCCAACAGCTCAATAATTGCGCCAATAGTCATACCAATCGATGCTGGGTTGCCAATAGTCACACCTAGACAGGTAAGTAAGTTGCAGGTAGGGTAGCGTTTTGACGTTGGATTCGGTTCGCTGCCCGAATGGAAGAAGCGTTGGTTATCTATCGGCGACGCATATCTCGACCCTTGGAAGCGTGTGCGAGCCTCAATGAGAGTCATTACTAAGTAGGTAGTCAGGTACTGATTAATCGACTTCTCTCTGATTGATGGCTGACACTAGCGGACCGCTCGCAACTATCAAACGGGCGCGATCTATTTCTACGCTACACTATCTGGACCAGCCGCTTCCCGAAGTGAGGCTGGAATCATATCCTCGGGTAAGCAAAGCACTGTCACTCTGGTTTGGTTTACTTGTAAGCTTGACCGCCTTCTGTCGACCCCAGGTTTACCTGGCATCTGCGCTTTGCGGCGAGCGGCACGGTTTCCCGTTCCTACATTGAGGCCTCAAGACGTGATGACGTTAGACAGCACTTAGCTTAAGCAGAGGAGTCTACAACACCAAGTGCCTAGGCCCACGCTTTCATTATTCCCAGCTACCTGGGTATAGATTATGGTGTCGTATCGTATCCTTCCTTGCTTGCCGTAGGTCAATGCGGACTACACATAATGAAATCCAGGGACTGCCCTAGTAACGGCGAGTGAAGCGGAAATCCCGGTGCTCCATTGCTCGTAAGAACACAGATCTTCTTGTGAAGTGGATTCCGTCTCTCTTTTTATAGATTCTCGAAGAACGCCAGAACTACCCTAGGCTAGCTAGATGCTGTATAGAACATCGTATAATTTAGGCAAGTACATGCGACGCGTGTTATTTCGGCCTTGATAGTTCGGCTCAGAACGATGATTTATGCGTGAGTCTCCGGCCCATGTCGTCCACGCCGTTTACTTGGTCTAGTTCAGCGTTGAGCTTAGACACAGTAGCAGCCAGAGCAACGCCATTTTTCTTCTTCTTGCAAGGAAGGCAACTCTTTCATTCGTGCGCGTCGACCGAAACGGTTACAGAAGAGCTGCCTACATCAGGCCCGGACCACTACGAACGATAAATCCGAAACGTGATGTTTCCCTATCGATGTATCCGGCCGATATACGTGTACGAGCTGTGTTATGAAGATTAAGTCAATGATGAATAGCTGAAGTATATCTTCTTGGCTGCAGCGGGCGGCCTACCAGTATATTGCTCGCTTCGCGCTCCAGCAAAATCTACACTGCCTACCTATCCCAGCAATTAACATCTTTACTTATTCACCACCCTGAAGCCGGACCTCTCTCTCCTTGCTCTGAACTCCCGCGCGCCTAGTTCACGGAAGCATCCGCCACCATCTGTCGCCATCTACAATCAGCCTTGTTGTACCATCTCAGTACATCGAAAAGGTCGTATGTTCACGTACACTAGCCGATACCGGGGTAGTATAATCGATCACTGCAAAATCATGCTCAAGAAAGGAAAGGGCCCAGAGCCGTGAACACTTCCCTGGCCCTGCTTTTGCAGCAGAAGTGGCTTGCTTGGCTCTAGAGTTGGATGCTACGCCAGCAGAACCGACACGCACAAGAAATCTTTGCAGCGGAGCAATCTGTTATACATTTACTCAAGTATGTATCACTAATAGGCGTTGGAAAGACACGCTGCCTGGGCCATATTGTCTTCCTGGCTGGTAGTCAAGACTCGTTTTGACTCAGTAGCGCCCTGCAGCTATACGTAGCCCGGCACTAACCGATTTGCTTCTGTTTCCCAAATCATAGCAATAGCGTGTGTGGTATTTCGAATGAGGGCTTGCATCCGGCTTAAGCCTAGCGTCTACACGAGGCGGGCGGTTGACACCAGCATACGCATCGGCAGAAAATTAGTTACTATGTATCAATTTGTGAAGGACCCTAGATCCTAGCTATAGTGAGATCCGAATAATAATAATACGGAAAAGCGTTGATCAAGGGTTTCTCAGGGTTTCTTCTCCCACCCTCCTCATGCTGCCAAGGGTCTAAGCGCACTATCCAGCGCCTGTTAAACATGCCTATTATATTATTCTTTTCGTCGGGTCATTTGCCACCAACGAACCACAGGGCGCGAATCTCGTGAAAGTCTGAACAATTCAGGATTGACAGGCCATCTGTTCAACGTGTTACAGTAGGACATATGCATGCAGTTTAGTCTGATCGTCATGAAGCTTGTGCCGCATTTTCCGGTTTTTTATGACAGCAAAAAAGCAGCGAGACTTGCTTTTATTTGCCGGCGACACTTTTTTTTTTCTTCAAACGGGCCCACATCGAACAGTTCATAGGTAATTAATCGGATCATCTGCCCTGGATTTACCGTAGTGTCTATAAGTATTAATTAGTCACAGGTAGTAGTTACGATGGGCCTCTATTCAATGCGCCAGCCCGTCAAGGTGAGGGAGAGAGAAACATGTACATAGTAGGCAGATAGATAGACGCCTTGTGGAGATGGAGGTTAGCAGATCACTAGATCTCGACACAACACAACAGAAATTGCCAGGGGATAAAGCGAGAGAAGCAAACGGCCCAATTATGTATCTCAACAGAAGCGAGACGGTTCAACAGCGACTTCAAAGCCACACAGCACGGGAAAGTGGCTACACGACATCACGAACTATAGTAGAAAGGTGTTATTCTGGTTGGCGGGTGCTGGGTGAGGGTGAGGGTGGGAAGCACAACACAAGAGAGATGAGCTGACGGCTTGGTTTGCGACCCCAACGGCATGTGAGTTAGGTACAACGGACGAAAAAAGCCTGTTTGTGTTCCCTCGTCTTCCCCCTGGGGAAATACCCTTGTGCAGTCAGCCACTAGACTAGGACAGGAACAGGAACAGAAACCCTGCTGCCGCTGCAGGAAGGTTGCAGGCGTCCTTAACTCTCCACATGCATACCAATTGGGCTCGACTGTACAACAATCTACCCATCGGTCGGTCTGAGTACGACCATCAAACCTGATGCTGTACTGGAGTGTACAGTATGTAGTAATGCTGCAAATGATATGATGGCTGACGAGATATGGTGAGTCTGGATCTAGTAAAAATAAAAAACAGCCATAATTCGAGCTCGAGTCTAGCATACGATCGTCTCTAGCCAACAATCCGCACACATATCGACGCCACAATCGTGGTCACGCGGGCACTATAGCCAGTCTTCAAGTACACTATTACAAAACCTAGCTTCTTTCCTCTGCCCTCTACTCAATCTATATGAGGAAATGAGAAAAAAAAAACTAAACAGTAGCGTAGGTACTACAGTAGGTATGTACGTCGAGATGTACAAGGACAAGGTCATCGGGATAGAGACATTTTTAGGGCGAAGGTACCTACTCGATCTTGCACAGTGTATATTGTTTCCGGCAACGTCAACGTCTCTAAGCACCGGATAGAAACCCCTCTCTCGGGCAGATATATCGGGGAGAACGCAGCAAGGAAAGTCCATTCGACTCTCTCGGCTCTCTGTTCACTCCTCTGTTCCTGAGTTCTGTTATTACTCCTCTTGACCGACTCCAGAAACAAACACCCCGCTGCCGACCTCCGAAGGTGGAATAGACCCTGGCTCAAACTTCCAGATATCGTTTAGCCGAGTTGCTAGTGAGTAGTGGAGAAAGCAGAAAGCAGGGGGTGCAGCAATGCTAGCTGATGTAGCATGGCCCTGTGAGCCTAGCCCAGCCAATGACTTGCGCCGCTAGTAACGGCGTCTTTCTCTTTCAATGTCCAGTGACCTCTCTCCCGCTTTGGGATCTGGGGCCAGGCGAACACCTGTCTCGGGAAAATACGACTTGTATCCTTCCTCGAAGCAGTGTAGCCGTCATCAATTATAACGAGGATAGCGTATAGTGCTGAGCCGGGTAGTCACCAGATTTCTTCCTCGGCTCAGGAGTGTGACCTGAATAAGAACCGTGTTGAGATTTCAAGTAAATAAGGTTGTCGAGGAGGCTTAACGTTTTCCCACTGCAGTAGTCTCGAATTTCAAGCTATAGGTAATTTCCCAGGAACCTCGGGGTCGCGTTAGTAGCACCCTGCTCAGTCCGTTTATGTGTTAGATAGATATTCCCTACTTAATCTCGATCTCGTCCCTTGGTCATATAAGTCAACCCCATCTTTGTATATATTTTCAACGGCTGTCTCGAACTTGGATCTTCCCACTTTTATCTCTCCCCTGGCTCTTCGCAACTGTAACAAACAAAGCGTACATTCTGCGGGAATCTTGAGACGCCCTGTCTTAGCCACACACACAAAGCCTCCACTTGGATCTACCTAGCTTCTGGACGGCACTCGTGCAGTGATAAGAAAACGGCATCGTGTGCCGGTGTAGGGCTAGCCAGGCAACGCGTGCCAACCAGCTGTGACGTGACATGGGATATCTGCATACCGTACTCCAATTACCTGCTGCAGTTAATTCCGGAACACGCCAGTCAAGAGAGGAAAAGGCGACCAAGAATTCCCACAATCCCTACGACCTTGACCACGGCCCTGGCTCGTGTCTGCTGCCAAGCATATCGTCGGCTATCGATCACTTTCGTCACTTGCCTCTCTATATTAGTTTGAGAACTCCACCTCCCCTCGGGATCCTGTTTTGACCGCACTCCCACTAGCTCTGAGATAGATCTCTTGTAGTAGCATGCAGGTCAAGATGGCCTACTCCAACGAGATGACTCTGGTGTTGCCGCCGATACTGAAGGGTACAGCACCCAGAATAGACGGGATCAGACAGCAATACAAAAAACAACGGCCGCACCCCAAGTCCCAGCCCTTCGATCCTGAAGACTTGCGTCGGAGGTTATACGTGGTGATCGCCGAGCGAGAGG